TCTATCTATCTATCTATCTACCTTTATCTCTCTCTCTATCTTTCTCTCTCTCTCTATCTATCTATCTATCTATCTATCTATCTATCTCTTTCTCGCTCTCTCTCCATCCACACCACTGCCCGCCAATCGATTGGTCAGAGCTTTGCTATGTTGTGTGTTTTGATCAGTTTGCCACAGTTGTAAACTCTGTGAGCTGGCACTGTAATTGAAGCAGATTATGATGTGGGCTCAGGTTACAGCCTTTATATATGGCTGGCATGAGGTCTGTGGACACTGGGAACAGTGAAATGACCTTCCAAGTTTTTTTAATCCGAGTCACAGGAGTAAATAAATGCTTGTTATCTGGTGTCCATTGTGCAATCAGGCCGGACTCCTGAGGAGAACAGAGATGCAAGAAAAGAGCTGAGTGTCAAGAAAACTTTTTTTTTTTGTTTTTTTTTTTGTTTTGTTTTTTTTTGTTTTGTTTTGTTTAAACAGAACCTCAAGGTTCTGGCCCCATTTCCATTCTGGGGAGCATCAGTCCGGTTCCTATTCCCCCGGCAAGTCAAGAATGATTACAACAGGTACTCACACACGCTCCTCCCCCTTATGGTAGGAAGGCCCGCAAGACGGCATTRATTACTTCCCSTGKRAAGGATGTACCATCCTACACCCCTGCCTGAGCTAGCCTATTTGACTTACTCTTGGGCTTGTAAGGCCTCTCGGAATTGTGGACTCTGTACTGTRGTCTCTGTCTGTCAGACTGGCTGAGCTTTCCCTAGATCTACCTCTCAGCTGTAGGGCTGTCAGATCTGTGTGTGTTGCTGGTAGGTCCTGGTCTGGCCTTCTCTGAGTCTCTAACTGTGGCCTTTAGTTCTAATATTCTAGAAGCTATAGTATTTTTTATCTTTAGATGGGGCGTGTGACTTTCCTCTAACGGCTAAATCCTAAGCCCTTATCTGCTTTCTGTCTAAGTGAAGGGGGGGGGGGGATATTCCCGGGGGTATAGTCGTGGCTGAGTGTTGTTCAGTATAAGGGGAGTTTAGAAGGTATGGGCTAAACAAGTGGGTGTGCTGGTAATTCTTCGTTGGAGTTGAAGTGGTTTGGGATGGGGGGAAGCTGAGGGATGTACAGAGTATGGGTTTTGCTACTTAACTGTGSGGCTTTGGGTRTGGGGGAGGTGATTGGTTGAGTAGTATTTGGGTTGTTYTTTGTGGAGTAGCAGGGAGGTTMGTAGGTGATGATAAGTGTTTGTAGGGGATAGAGGGGTTAAAGGGGTGTTTTATAACTGAGTTWTGATTAGCCAGTTTTTAAGGGTTAGTCTGTCGTTTATGATGTTGCCGAGTAGTCCATTACCTAGTTTGGATGCTGAGAATTTTTGTATAGCTAGGTTSTTTTTRTCCGGGTCAGTTGGGAGCTTTCTGAGTAGGTTTTCCCAGAGGGCGTGGATTTCTGTGTCAATCAGTTGTCTGATGATGATGAGTGGGTTTTCTGTGGTGGTGAGTCGGTCTTCAAAGGTATYATCGCATCTGTTTTTCCATRTGGCCCATAAGGTGCTTTTCTTGATTTGGGAGGCAAGGAAGGATTCGAAGCTTGTGAGTGGGGGTGTTTGTTTGTGATCGAGGAATAGTGTGGCCGGGTTGATTAGTAGAGGAGAGTTCGAGATTTTGTGCCACGAGGTTTCAAGGGCTTGCCAAAGGGCTCTGGCCTTTGGGCAATCAATAAAGCAGTGATTCAGGGATTCCGGGATATTGAGATTGCGTACTTTGCACCAGGAGTCTTGATCCGATCTGTTGTCTTGTTTGCGCCTCTTGGCCAGCCATTGATTTGCTGGGACCGCTCTGAATGCTATTAACCATCTCAGGCTGGATAGTTTTATAGGTCTTGTGGAGAATGTTGTCGCCCACGGAAGTGAGAATTGAGAGTTGGCTAGTTGTGGTTCCTCCTTCGTCCACCTATTGCGTAATGTGTTGGTTATTGATATGGGTTTGGTGAAGAGTCGGTAGCCTAGTTTGGGTGTATAGTCAGTTAGTTTGTAAGGGTTGGGGGTGAGGGAGGATCCGGAAGGGGGGTTCCATGTCCATTCAGTGGGGTCTATCTCTAGGTCACTTACGCTCATTAGGGGTTTGTAAACTCTTTTTCTTTCTCCTTCCTTCAAGGATTTTGATTCTCCTTAGGTTGTTGGTTTTGAATGCTCCTTCTGCTCTACTCTTACTGTTGATAAGGCTTACCGGGTTTCCGGGTTCTTCTAGGGTGACACTGTGTATATCGCAGCATATCCATATATTGTTATGGGGTTCGTAGTTTTTGACTGATAGTACTTCTTGGATTAGGTGGGTGTCGGTGGTGGTGGCCCAATCTCCGCTTTGCCATTTCTGTTCTGATTTTAATAGGGATCGCCAGTGTAAAGGAATACAGTCAATTATGTGGTCTAAATTAGTTTGTAGGTGATGCACGCCTTTTAGTGTGATTTGTAGGTCCCTTCCTATTTTCCAGTCTTTGTTTTGCTCATCCCAAATGTGTTTGATTTGCCATATTCCCTTTTCTAGCCAGTGGCCCCATTTGGGTTCAGATTTCGCGAGTGGGAGGCTTTCACCTTTTTCGTTCTTGATTAGTGGGTTTCCAAAAAGGGGTTGTCTAAGGACCTCGTCCTTTTTCTTTGGGCCTGTTGTGTTGTTTGGGAAGATGATTCTCCAGGTGTGTAGGGTACGTTCCCAAAGGGATTTGGTCTGGGGAATGTCGTTGGGGYTCTGATGTAATGTTTGGTCAGATAGTCTCTGTTTTCCTCTTGGAAGTGGCCAGTTTTTGTTGTAAATCCAAAAGAGGCCTGTCATGTTGTAAGGGGATGTAAATGGTGCTRGTTCTCTRATATGGTTTAGGGYTAGGGGGGTCCAGTTTAGGTTGTSYTGGAGGGTYAKTCTTATAATCCATTTGATTTGTAAGGCTTGTATTTGGCGGGYTGGGTCTATAAGACCTAAGCCTCCTTTGCTCTTAGGGCTGGTGACTATCTGCCAGGCAACTTTGTGGATAAAGTGTTGATTATCAGGATTACCTGTCCATAAGAAGGCTGCTGTTTTTTTCCTCAGCTGGCTGTGGAAATCAGTGGCTGGGAACCATATGGAGGTAGCATACCACATCATGGCTRGGATTGAGTTGTTGAGAGYCAGTACCCTACCTAGTAGGGAGGTGTATTTGGCTTTCCATGTGTGCATCCTGTTAATCATGGAAGATAGGAGTGTCGCTGCTGATATTTGGTGACATCCCTTGAGGTTAAGGTTGATGCCCAAGAAACGGATTGGTGATTCCGGGTCAGTCCAGTGTAGACCTGCTGGGGAGAGTTCTGTTGGAGGAGGTGTATCTGCGGTCCACCAGCCTATTGTCTTGGTCCAGTTGACTTTCATCKYTGARGCTAGTTGGAAGGCTTGCATTGCTCTTATTAGGGCTTGAAAGGAGGAATTTGAAGCCCTGATCAGAACTGTGAGGTCATCTGCGAAGAGGAGGGTAGTAGGAGGGTGTAGGAATTGGCCGCGTTCATCCTTGATGTTATCTATTCTTTCGATGGATTTATCCTTTCTTAGAAAACTTAGTTGAGCTGGGTAGTAGAGAACTGTGAGTGTCAAGAAAACTTAGAAAACAACAGAAGATGTTTTTGCCTTGTTGAGGATTTCTGTCTGTTCAAGTCAAGAGTTCAATTGAGTTGGGTTACTTTAACTTACTTAGGTATTTCCCAATTTCGAAGTTTCCCACTTAATAATTCGAATTTCGAAATACCACTTTTTATTTTTCCTTGCTTTTTACTTTCTTTTCTTTTGTGGTGGAACTGGTGCCATTGTGGTGGAACTGGTGCCATTGGGGTGGAACTGACCGGCCCCTCAGCAATTCAGGAATTTTTGCTTCCTTCATCTGATGCTTTGATCTGGATTCGAACTCAAGGTCTGCATTTCAAGAGATTTTCAACAGTTTTATGGGTGTACAATTGTAACAAAGCTACTACCAACTGCCCTTAAGCCCGTTGTCACGTTATGACATTACGTTTGGTTCACAGATAAAACGACACCCCAGTCCCCACGACGGCGCGGAATTCTGCCTCTGCTCCTCATTGTCTCCATTAGGAGTTTCTTTTGGACCTTATCATCACAATTGGCAGTTTCCATGTGCCTGGCGTATGGCCTGGTGGACTCGGACGTCATTTGCAAACTCTGATGAATGTAGACTGCATTCCAAAGTAGGCATGTGCTTTTTTGTTTTTATTATTATGGCAAAGGAAAAGGGTTGGTGAGTACGCCATGTTCCACCCTCTGGCGACCACTCATCTGCCGAGGTCTGTTTCCTTTGCCATTAAAAATATATATCTGTAGAGTTTTCCATCTGGTGTGGGTGAGTGATAGTCTACTTTGATTTTGGTTAAGGTAGATTAT